AAGCTCTGAGCAACTCTGTGGTCTGGCCAGCCCTGGACACCCTGGTTGAGTTGCAGGTGGGGACTGAGATGGAGACAGGAATGGAGGAAGTCAGGGAAGGCTGCCAGAGGGAATTCTGGGGAACACTGGGAAGCAGACACTTTGGAGAGACCTGCCCAGCCCAGTCCTTCTCCTCTGGCAGCTTCTCTACCATCAGTCATGGACATGCTGGCAGCCATGTTTTCCTGCAAAGCCATGACCTACCCGGCCATACTGATTGGCCACTTGAACTGGACATGTGACCTGGGCTGGACCAATCAGCTTCTCTGTCCTGGGAGGTCGGAGGACTCTGGGAGGTGGGTTGGCCTCTGTAGGGCTGGACACAGGGACAAGGAGTGGAGTGTTTGAGGGAGGCAAGCCTGTGTTCAGAGGAGCAGAGAGGGGCTGAGACAGCCAGAGAGAGGTTGCCCAGCTGCCATGGCTCCCCTCTCCTGCAGCCCCTGCTCCTGGGTTCAGTGAGATGCCCTTGTATCCTTCTGTGCTAACAAGCCTCTATGCTCAAGCTCCTGCGAGTGGGTTCTGTCTTTTGCAGCCACCCAGCCTCCAGATAGAGATTTTAAGAATGCAAATCAGATCACAGTGCTCATCTTCCTGGTGCCCTCAGTGGCTTCCCAGAGCTGCAGCACTGCTCCTTAAGGCTGTCCCAGCACGAGACTGAGCAACCCGGCCCTGGCCCCTCCCATCACCCCAGAACACCCTCACAACAGCCTCACTGCTGTTCCTCCAGCACTCCAAGTTCCTTCCTGCCCCAGGGCCTTTGCACTTGCTGTGCCTTTTGCTGGGGATGCTCTCCCCAGAATCTTTTCTTTTTAGTTTTTTTTGAGACATGGTCTTGCTCTGTCACCCAGGCTAGAGTGCAGTGGTACAAATACAGCTCACTCCAGCCACCACCTCCTGGGCTCAAGTGATCCTCCTGCCTTAGCCTCCTGAGTAGCTGGGACTACGGGCATATGTCACCATGCTTGGCTAATTTTTAAATTTTTGTAGAGATGGCATCTTGTCATGTTGCCCATGGTGGTCTTGAACTCCTGGGCTCAAGCGATCCTTCCATGTTGGCCTCCCACAGTGCTAGGATTACAAGCTTGAGCCACACCACCTGGCCACCCCCTGGATCTTTACATGGCCAGCTTGTCCTCATCAGGTTTCAGCTGGAATGTCCTCTCTTGGAGAAAAGGCCCTGATCAGCCTATCAGAGAAGCCTGGCTCGCCCTGTCATTCCATCACACAGCATCCTGTTTTGTTTCATTCAGGGCGCATAGCACCATCTGTTGTTTATTTATTTGTTGACTTGTTTACATCTGCTTCCCCTGCTGGAATGAAAACATCATGTCTTCTGCACCACTGAATCCTCAGTGCTTCCAACACAGCCCAGCACGTAGTAGGTGCTTAATGAGTATTTGTTGATTGAATGCAAAAATGAGGCAAGATGACCCAGAGTTAGACTGCCAGGAGTCCGGTGGGGTTTGCTGGAAGAGAGTTAAAGGACCCATCTCATTCTCTCCACACGGGAGCCCCACTCTTGCCTATACATAGGCTGCTCTGCCCTGGTAGAGAACAGTTCTGAAGGTTATCAAGTGGCGAGTGGAGACCAGGCTGCCAGGCTGCAGGAAGTGGTGATTGTCACCGAGGTGACTCAGTTCTGCCTGGGTCAACCTTGGGCCCCCTTCTGGGTAGATACACACTCTATCCACTGGACCAGTGTCTGTTATTTCTCTCGAGGGCCCCAAGATGACCTCTCAAGGAGGAGCCCTGTTTGTCCTATAGCTTTTCAGTAAGGGACTATGATTCACACGCCCCAAGATCGGAGTCTTTGACCTGGGAGAGGGCCTCTGGTCTAAAAACAAGCCCTGATTTGGGTAAGCTGGTGGAGGAGACGATTTCATGTGAGGGTGAATTGCCTTTTGTCTGCCTCTCTCTGATTTGTTTTTGAAAATTCATTGTATTTATTAGATATGCCATCACACAATGGTCCCTTGACATATTTCGTGCAGTAAAGAGACAGCCCCTGCCATCAAGCTGTACGCTGTAGCTGACAACACCGGGTCTTTCGTGCACACTCACGCACACACTTCCACGTGGGCACACGCTGTTGTCAAGCACACAGACGTCACAGGCTGGTGGGAGCAGCCTTGGGATGAAAGACCCAGGCTGGCGTTGGCTGTACCTCTCCTCCCCTTCCTGGAAAAATGATGGCAAGTCTGCATTGTCTGTGTGAATCAGGGAAGAGGCAGCCAGGACAGATGAAGTCCAGGATCCCAGTTGCCTCCCGGCAAACAGAAATGGCTAACCAGCCACTGGTTTTGAGGGATGGGAGTTCAGCAAACTTTTCTTTTCCTTTGTTGTCTGCTGGTGGAGGTACTAATGAGTAGAACGAAACCCACAGAGGGCGGGGGAAGCAGAAAGCCTGAGCAATCCACTCCCTGAATAATCAGCCCTGAATAATTGAGAATTGACTTGTAATTGCAATTGTCTCAGTGTGGAGATGCTGACGTTGGAACACGGAGAAGAGGCGAGAAGAATGGTGGGGTTTGGAAAGAGGGCGTGGACTCTGGACTGATTCTGGGCAAAGCAATGGGGGGTTGAGGGGATATTTTTAATTACAATTTTAAACTACAAGGCAAAGGGCTGACACTGTTGGGGGAAGGTTGCAAGGTTGCGGGAGGCGGAGAGGAGAGACATATCCAGGAAGGAGCAGTATTTCTTTCCAGACTGTAAACAACTGCCAAATAAACCCCAGAAATGACACTCTGAGAGCGTCTGTGGGAAGCTTAGAGAGCTGCTTGTCCTGCAAGAGGTATTGGTTTTGTTCAAGCTTCAGCTGATGCTTGCTTAAAAAAATAGATTCCGTTTCCTCTCTTGCACCAATCTGGAGGGGAAAATCAGCACGTAACATCTGCCTCATGTCATCGTTTAGACACTTGTGAATGAAAGGATTCTGGCAGAACCAAGCAAATAGTAAAATGCAAGACCCAGCCTACTCCTGATTAGCTCCTGGTGGATTATCTGCTGGGGGATGGTCCAGAGGGACAGTCCCATCCAGGGTGGAGTCCTCCATCACTGCACCCCGCTATGGCCTAACTTTTGAGCTCACAGAATGTTAGATGTGAGTAATGGTTAAGGGCTGGGTCTATGCAGGCAGACAGATCTGGGTTGAACTTGTCTCCTACACACTGTAGCTTGGGCAGTGTCTCCATTCCTCTGAACCTTTGTTTCTTCCACTGTACAACGAGGAAGATGGTGATTCCAGCTATGACTCTATGCTCATCAGCAGCCTTGAGTTCCTCTGCAGTTCCCAGAGTCCTTTGCACTTGGAATGCCCATGTGACTAGCCTAGCCAATGGGATAAGAGTGGAAGTGATGGATGTCACTTCCAGGATGTGGTGGACAAATATACTATGTGCCCTCCCTCTATTTTCTCTCCCTCATCTGTGGTGCAGCTACACCACAGAAGGAGCCTGGATCCCTGAGTTACTTCATGGATGTGAGTCATTCAAGAGAGGCAGCTAAGAAAGAATTTTTAAGATTTTGAGATGTTTGTAACAGCAGCTAGTATTAACTATCCAAATGAATACAGTAGTACTCCCTTGAGAGGTATTGTGAAGAATTAAATGAGGGAGGCAGAGCTTATAAGAGCTGAGCTAAGTGTTCAATATAGAAAATGTTCAATATAGAAAATATAGAAAATGTTCTATATTTTGGCATATAGAAAATGTTCAATAAATATTAGGTATAAGTATTAATTTATTTATGCTGCAAATATTTATAGAGTTCCCATCATGAGCCAGACATGTGGATTAACAGCAGATGCATAAAATCATACTTTGGATTATGTATTAAATAGCACGCTCCATGGTAAAATAAAAAGAATTTGGTAATTCATTCCATCAGTGATGATGATGACAATGATGATTTTTGTTTTGAGACAGAGTCTCGCTCTGTTGCCCAGGCTGGAGTGCAGTGGTGCAGTCTCAGCTCACTGCAACCCTTGAAACCTCCCGGATTCAAGTGATTCTCATGCCTCAGTCTCCTGAGAGGCTGGGATTATAGGCACACACCACCACACACCACTAATTTTTGTATTTTTAGTAGAGATGGGGTTTCACCACGTTGGCCAGGCTAATCTTGAATTCCTACCTTCAAGGGATTTGTCCATCTCAGCCTCCCAAAGTGCTGGGATTAGAGGCGTGAGCCACCATGTCTCGCCCAATCATTGATTATTAAATATTAAACCCTATTATGCTCCAGGCATTGTGATAAATGGTGGGGACCTGTGGTTGAATACATTCATTTTCACTCTTAAACTGCTTGCTGGCTACTGAGAGATATACAAGTAAACATACAATTCAAATGCCAAGTGACATGTGTTATGTAGACAGACTTTCTCAAAGTGCTGGCAGTGTCACTAACTCTGTTTGGGGAAATCAGAGAGGGCTTCATGGAGAAAGGGGCTTTTGAGTTCAGCCTTGAAGGTCTGAGTAGAATTTGGGCAGATGAGAAAGCATTTCAGGTGGAGGGACTGGTCCATAGTCATGAAGTCTTGCGTTTTTGTTTAAAAAATTATGTATTGATTTATATTTAAGGGACAAGGTCTCACTCTGTTGTTTAGGCTGGAGGGCAGTGGTGTGATCACAGCTCACTGCAACCTTGAACTGGGCTAAAACGATCCTCCTGCTTCAGCCTCCTGAGTAGCTGGGACTACAGGCTCATGCCACGACCCCCAGCTAATTTTTAAATTTTGTAGAGATGAGGGTCTTACTATGTTGCCCAGGCTGACCTCGAGCTCCCAGCCTCAAGCAATCCTCCTGCCTCAACCTCCCAAAATGCTGGGATTACAGGCAGGAGCTACAGCACCTGGCAAGGTCTTGTGTTTGATGAGATGTGACAGATGCTTTGATAGCTGGGGATATAGGGTGTCTGTGGTCAGTAGAAAAATGTCGCCCACTCCAAAGATGTCCACATCAGTGCTTGCTCTGACAGCACATACACTAAGATTGGAACGATACAGAGAGGGTGAGCATGGCCTCTGTGCAAGGATAACACACGAATTCATGAAGTGTTCCAGATTTTTCCATTATTCTAAGTGAAGTCACCCTGGAATGGAAAACTGGACTCCGTATGTTCTCATTTATGAATGGGAGCCAAGTTATGGGTATGCAAAGGCACATTGAGTGGTCTAGTGGACATGGGAGACTCAGAAGTGGAGAGTGGCTGGGTGCGGTGGCTCAAGCCTGTAATCCCAGCACTTTGGGAGGCTGAGGTGAGCAGATTACCTGAGGTCAGGAGTTCAAGACCAGCTTGGCCAACATGGCGAAACCCCGTTTTTACTAAAAAAATACAAAAATTGGCTGGGTGTGGTGGTGCATGCCTGTAATCCCAGCTACTCAGGAGGCTGAGGCACAAGAATCGATTAAGCCTGGGAGGCAGAAGCTGCAGTGAGCTGAGATTGAGCCACTGCACTCCAGCCTGGATGACAGAGTGAGACTCTGTCTCAAAAAAAAAGATAAAGATTTTGTATTGTTTTAGCCAATACAGATGTTTGTGTGAATTTGTTACAGCAGCAATGGAGAATGAATAGAGCGTAGAGCATCTGATGGAGAATGTCAGGAGGCCACACTAGACCGAAGGGCCAGAGCTGTGTAGACTTATCCTGGAATGAGCAGTGGGTGTCAAACTTCAGTGAGATCCCCACTTTTCCATGTACTACTAATATTAATTAATAATTACATTCTGAGAGAGAGGGAACAGTCTTGTTCATTTTAATGGGTGTGATCCTTCCATAAATTGAATGTATGTTTCTTATTTAATTAATGAAAACTTAGGTTGTTTCCAGTCCTTTGCTATTAAAATAAGGTTGCAGTGAATGATTTTGACCTTGTGTAATTTTTCACATGTGTAAGATGAGTTCCAAGAAATGGAATTGTTGGGTCACAGAGAATATGCATCTTAAGAAGCCTCCATTTTTCATACATGCTCGAGGGCATGATTCTGGTGAAAGCTAAAGGGAATTGGAGGTTCCTGAGTGGAATTCAGACACGGGTTCTACAAGTACTCCTGTGGCTGCTGGTGTAGAGGGAGGCCAGAGGAGAGGCTGAGGCAGTGGACCTAGAGAGAAAGGCATGTGAGTGACAGAGAGAGAGGACACTGTTTAAGACCGGCTTGGTATGGGTGAGTGTAAGTTGATTTTCTAGTGTGTGCTTTTACTTGAAAAAACTTTTTATTTATTTATTTATTTTTTAGATATGGGGACTCATTATGTTGCCAATGCTGGTCTCAAACTCCTGGGCTCAAGTGATCCTCCCGCCTTGGCCTCCCACAGTGTTAGGATTACAGGTTTGAGCCACTGTGTGTTTGGCTGTGTGTGTGTGCGTGTGTGTTTTAATCAGTACAGGAACTTCCTAAGACATGAGAGGTCTTTCTTCAGTAGTCCTGGGTTTGAGAGCCTGCTGAGGGCAGGTGTGGTGGTACATGCCTGTAATCCCAGCTACTCGGGAGGCTGAGGTGGGAGAACTGCTTGAGGCCAGGAGTTCAAGAGCCACTGGGACTGGTGTCCCTCACGATAAGTGAGGCTCGCTTGGTGTTCACATGTCAGGCCTGAATTCCACTCTCCATTCTCTTCTGCCTGGCCCTTTTCACCTCCGGGGAGATAATTAACTTTGTGGTTTGCAGGGGAGGGGGATAGAAGTGTATCCCTATGGTCTTTAAACAAGGTTTTTCTGGTATTAGATTGCTTCTCAGAAATATGTAGTGACTGCAGGTCTTACTGCTTCTGACTTCCTGATTTTTGGTGCTTACACGATTTGTACAGCATCAAGGTGTTACAGTTACACTACCTGCCTCTTTTTCATATTGGTTATTTGTTTAAATAGATTCTTTACCCACCATGGAGTTTATTATGACCTCTCCATTCTTGGGTTTATTTTTATTCTTCCTTGTTGAGCTAGATTTAAATGTCAGCTATCTTTTTAAAGAATGGTTCATGGGGCCAGGCATGGTGGCTCACGCCTGTAATCCCAGCACTTTGGGAGGCCAAGGCATGCAGATCCCAAGGTCAAGAGATCAAGACCATCCTGGCCAATGCTGTAAAACCCCGTCTCTGCCAAAAATACAAAAATCAGCTGGGCATGGTGGCGGGTGCCTATAGTCCCAGCTACTCGGGAGGCTGAGGGAAGAGAATCGCTTGAACCCGGGAGGCGGAGGTTGTAGTGAGCTGAGATTGCGCCATTGCACTCCTGCCTGGCAACAGAGTGACACTCCATCTAAAAAAAAAAAGGAAAGTATATTATCCGAGGGCACTGATGTCTGAGAATGTCGGCCTGCTGCCTTTACACTTGAACATGCAGTTCATCTTTTCGCAGCCTTGCTGGGATTATGTTCGTGAGTCTCTCCCGAGGAGAGCCCTGGGCCTGTTTCTCTGATTCTTCTCGAGGTTGGGTTGAGACTCAGTGCTGCTTGGGCTGCCTGGTGATCCCCTGAGCTTGGGGATGCTGTATGCGGATCATGAATAGAAAATAACATAATTTGGAGTGAGAAACTTTGGCTGCCAATTTCAGGGCAGCCGGCCAGAAGATTATCTCTCTTCCTAGTGTGTTTGGGATATTTGTAACTCTAAAAATATCCATGGCTGCTGTGTACAGCTGTGCAGGCTGTACACTGCACGATTCCAGGGAACGTTGTTCCTATAAACCACAATGTGAATGGCGCTCTGTTATATGCAAGATGGTGGCCCTGTGACCTCTCAGCCTGGAGTGGGCCTAGAAGCAGAGAATTCTTTTATCTCAGTGTTTCCCTACTTTGCTTATTTTCGTATCACTGAGGCAGAAGCCACCGCAAACAAACCTCTTGAACACCGAACAGGGAAGGAAGTAGTGATTTATTCGGCCCGGAGCTGTGGCAGGTGAAAATACCTTAACAACCGAGCTCCTCAACAAAGAACATCCTTGCCCTTTTAAAGGCTTACAGCTCTAGAAATTACATGTGAAGGGGTCTTGATTCATGAAGCAGGCGTGGGGTACGTGACTAGGTGGGGGTTTGATCGTGTTTAAGCAGAAACAGTGCCTTCCGGAAAGATTCCTCCATACCATGCCTGCGATCTACAGGAGTGCGATTAAGGGTGGCACCCGGTTCTGCCAGCCTTTACTTCTCCCATTGAAATGCAACGTAGAAGTCCAGGGGGAGGACTCTTAGAAGCTTACGAGGATTAAGGGTCTCCTTCCTCATCACCTTTATTAATTTATTTCTAGTTCCATATTCTTCTTCTACTATGATTTGTTTGCTCTATATTGTCTCACAGTCTTCTTACAAAAATGAAGGTAAAAAGGGAACTTTAGATCAAAATTGGGAGTGGAAAAACAGTACAACTCACCAAAATAGAAGAAATATACATGTACGTGTGCGTGTGTGTGCGTGTGTGCGTGTGCGCGCACGTGTGCGTGTGTGCGTGTGCGTGCGTGTGTGTGTGCGTGTGTGCGTGCGTGTGTGCGTGCACATACGAGCATAAAAGAAAAACAGTGCCATTGAACTCCAGCTGGATGTTGTGGTCTTTTTTTCTCTTTGTGAAACAGGCAGTATTAGGAAGTATCATCAGCAAGAGTTAGAGCAATGTTAAAGACAGGCTAGCACCAAACTGTCGTTTCCTGTTGGAAGTCATCTAAAGGGTTGGAAGAGAATTAGAGGGAGAATTGTTCCCTATGACACAATTCGGTGTAGTTTAACGCCACATCCCTCCACCATTCCGAACCCCCTAGGGACCTGAGAAAACACTGGCCCAGCCCCATCCTCCATCAGCTGCTTGAATATCTTGGCAACATCTCCACATGGGGGTTCAAGTCTTTCTCCTATCCTTATGTTATAGTATCACCAATGTATCACAATGTAGCAGTCTCTCCTTGTGAGATATCACCTGGAGTTCTTTGTCTCACGACCAAGAGAATTAAGGAGCATGGACACAAAGTGTGAGGTTGGAGTGAAAGTTTAACAAGCAAACGAAGAAAGCTTTCCTCTGTAGAAAGGGCCTGGAAGAGGGTGGCCGTTTTTACAGTTGAATGCAAAGGCTTTTAGACGAGATGGATGAGGGCTGGGTGTCTCATTTGCATAAGGTGTGAATTTCTGGTACTCCATCCCGTCCCCCTAGTGCGCATGTGGGTCCTTAGCTTGAGTTACTCCATATTGCTTTGTCTCCCTTACTGTACATGTGTCAGGGGACAGAATTTCCCCTTGTGCGCCTGTCTGGGCAAGTTACCTGTGTTGTCTTTCTTATCTGTGCAGCTGTGGGCATGTCTCAGGCAAGCTCCCATGTGCAAGTTTCCTTATCAGTACCTGCAGGCTGTTCTTTTGTTTGAAATAATTAAATGAAGGGCCCATCCTAACCGCCTGCCTGACCAGCCGCTTCCCTTTCTCCCCTCTCATTTACACCATTGCAAAGTTTAATGCCATTGCAAAGAGACTTTTTTTGAGGCTGGGCCATTCTTTGATTGTATTGGGCAGAGTCCTGCTCCTTGGAGCTGTTGAACCTGGTTCTGCTCTCTGGAGTGCAGCAGAATAGATAAAATCCATCCTACAAACTGCATTCCTCCAAATGTGATTGAAAGTGGGGACTCTGGGCCAGGCATGGTGACTCTCACCTGTAATCCCAGCACTTTGGGAGGCTGAGGTTGGCAGAGTACCTGAGTTCAGGAGTTTGAGACCAGCTTCGGCAACATGGTGAAATCCTATCTTTACTAAAAACACAATAAATTAGCTGGGCATGATGGCGTGTGCCTGTAGTCCCAGCTACTTGGGAGGCTGAGGCAGGAGAATCACTTGAGCCTGGGAGGTGGAGGTTGCAGTGAGCTGAGATCTCACCATTGAACTCTGGCCTAGATGACAGAGCAAGACTCTGTCTTAACAAAAAAGAAAGAAAGAAAGAAAGTGGAAACTCTGGAGTTAGAGTGCTTGGGTTGGAATATCCAGACTCAGGTGTGAAACCTCACTGTACGTCTGCTTCTTCATTCAAAACTAGGCATAACAATAGTACCTCTTTCATATAGTTACCATGAGAATTAGATACATAAACATTTAAATAACTCCTGG